CTGGAGTACTGTGTCCAGGTGTGGAGCCCTCAGTACAAGAAAGACATTGAGATTTTGGAAAGGGTCCAGAGGAGGGCGACTAAGATGATCAGGGGGCTGGAGCACCTCCCCTATGAGGACAGGCTGAGGGAGTTGGGCTTGTTCAGCCTGGAGAAGAGAAGGCTGCGGGGTGACCTCATTGCAGCCTATCAATACCTGAAGGGAACCTACACCCAGGAGGGGAGTAAACTCTTCAAAAGGGCTGATAACAGCAGGACTAGGGGAAATGGTTTTAAGTTGAAGGAGGGAAGATTTAGGTTGGATGTTAGGGGGAAGTTCTTTACAAGGAGAGTGGTTAGGCCCTGGAACGGGCTGCCCAGGGAGGTTGTGGATGCCCCGTCCTTGGACGTGTTTAAGGCCAGGTTGGACGGGGTCCTGGGCAACCTGATCTGAATGTGTATGTTTGGTGGCCCTGCTAGGCCGGGGGGTTGGAACTACATGATCCTTGGGGTCCCTTCCAACCCGGGTGATTCTGTGATTCTGTGATTCTGTGTGAGTCCATTAGCTGTAGCTGCCTGCTGGCTCCCAGCTCACTGATGAGCAGCTCCCTGCTCTTGTACTGGGGGGAATGGGCTCACGGGGGCACGACTGCAGCCCTTGGGGTCCTACTGAACTGTGCAGGAGGTGCGGGCACCCAGGGAGAGTGGCAGCATGGGGCTGCACAGCCCCAATACGTCCCGCTGCTGTCTCACCACTCTGTTCACAAAGCTGTTGAGCTCCACTTACAACCACTGAGGTAATCAGTGTTCTGGGTGGGCTTTTGTAGACCTTCCTGCTTTGGTGAAATGCCTTCCAAAGCAAACTGAGAGAAGTCCATCACCACTTATTCTTGTTCCAGCTCTGTTTATCATTGTTATTTCTGGCTACCGCTATTTATCTCTTGATATAAATGTATATCCCAGACAAGGTCTTGCAAAACAGAATGAATACTATTCTGTCTCTTTACAATGTCTTTGTGATTTAATTCTGGGCTTTTTTTTCAGCTGCTTTCTGTTGGTGACTCATCATCGTTCCAGCCCAGCTGGCATAACCGGGTTCTTAGTTGTTTCTGATTGCTGAGGCTTTATAGGAAACGTATTGTTACAGGCAGGCAAATGGAGGGCCCTGTTTATTACTATTGAAATCATCCCATTTTTATCACTTGAATCTTCAAGGTCACGCAGTTCTTACATGAAATACCTTTCCTTCTGCCCTCCACCAGCAGTATGATGCCGTTTCATAATCTCTGCATTTCATCAGTCCCTCTCATGCTGCAGCTGTTAATGAAGATGCTGAGACTGGCGGGTCCCAGGCTCCCTCCTTGGGGAACAACTCACAATGCTGCCCCTCCACCACCTCCCCTTTCCCACTGACTCGTCTAGGCTTCCTCCACATGCTGTCCCCTGAGGTCCTCACTTCACTTGGTTTATCAAGCTGTTCTTCTGGGAAATAAAAACCTTAATCACAGATGCAGTGTTTTTATATTTCAAATGAATTTAACTTGTGGTCAGTTGAGCTAAAATTATTTCCTATTAGGCAAGAAAACTAAATTGAAAACACTGTTCTTTCTCTTTGGCCTGGTTACCTGTGGGGTGCTGAGCTGCCAGAGGCCCTTCCTGTGTGAGGTGGCCCAACGGGCTCCAAGCCATTCTCCCATGGCTCTGGGGATGGGATATAGCTGCTCAAGCAAGAAGCCTGTGCCTTATGCTAAAGGGTAATGTGTTCTCTCTAGTGCTTTGTATTTCACACTCCAGGCAGTGCCCAGCCCATAGAACACACAGACATGGGGCATCCCCCAAGTGTGTGGATTGGGAAGATTTCCTTTTTTGGGATCCGTTTTTCTCCCCAGTTTGAACCACAGTGCTATTTGTCCCATTTTCTCCAGCTCTCATAACAAATGCAGCCTAACTGCAGAGAAATTTATGCCTTCAGTTTTGTCACTTACCAATGCTGGGACTTAGGTTTATGCCTTTTGCTCTTCTAGGCCCGGTTTTCTGCATATTTCATCACTTCCAGTGGCTGCTGACAGCAGCCCAGCTTCTTGACATCACACTCACTTTGGTCAGGTTTCAACGATCTCTGCAGGTCAAACCTTCCTCTGGTGTTAGGGATAGGGATTAGTTGACTTTAACAGCTGACCCTAACTCACAGCTTCAGCTTACAAGGAAAATTGGGCCAGCAATGACGTATCTTGTACTTCAGGTTTTTTTTTCCAGCAATGAATGAACACTCATAATGCAACGCTGTGTTTTATTGAGTAGCTGTTGCAAGGATCAGTCTTATATGCAGTGCAGTATAACTATCTAGAAATCCAAAGTATGTAATAAGAACCTATAACTGAAACATAATAGCCCCAAACACTGTAAGAAGTTATGCACCATTTCATAATTTATTATAATACAAACAAGCCCATCAAACACAATATGTCTACTTATGAAAATATCAATATTCACAATTTAAATAGATGATAAGTCTCATAATTTTATATATCAGTAACTCATCTAAAAAGTATTTTGTTCCTAGCTGTGGTCTTGAAGGAAATATTACCTACATGTAATTGTAAAACTGTCCATTCACAGTTTATTTTTTATAGTTCTTGATACTTGAAATAGAAATTGAGTACAAAGGACCACCTCCAGAACAAAGATGATTTTGTCTCCAGGATGTTTTTTCCCTAAATTCCCTAAATAATGAAACTTTATGTGCTCAGTTAATTGTTTTTACTATTGTAAAATTAGGAGGTATGAATAACACAGCAAGACATTGGCTAGTTAGCAACAGTCATTGCAGGATGCTCCACAAAACCAAAAAATAAGGCAAGTATTATCAACAGCAGCTCTCATACGCAGACCAAAAATGTCAAGGCTTTATTATCCAAACCAGACTCTAACAAGGCTTCAAATGTCTGTTAACAAGATATGTCTTGATCCAAAGCCCTCCTAAATTGATGGGGATTGGAGAAACCAACCACAAAAGCCTCATACAATCTTCTCTTTGACTTGAAGGGGCTTTGGAAGCAAGCTCTTAGAGCCCTAAATTATCAGAAATAAGATGACCACTGTATGTGAAAATTGCACCATGTCATTTCTAAAGTGATACGGAACAGGTTAGGAGTTGTTTTTTGAAATGAAGCTACAACTATTTAATGAGTTATTCTTAGTTGGAAATAAATATTGATGCAAAAAAAAAAAAAATCTTTAAATATGGGAACTTACAAAAATACTTCATTAGGACAGGAAAAAGTCAGATGATTCTGCCAGTTTGCAGGAAAACCATTATATTACAAAAACTGATAAATCACACCATGTGTATGGCAGCATATGCCATGCACCTAAATGAGTTTTTTTTAATAAATAAAAGCCCTAAATATTCACTATTTTCTGTAAGGTTACTGTTATATTAAGCAGAATAGTGAATATCTTGTATAAATATTTTTTCAATAGATACATTCTCAAAAATGAATTACTTATCTATATAGATATTGCACTTCAGACTCATTCACATGTAACTCAGACTAGCATTCCTCATAACAAATTCAGCATAAAAATAAGTTATAAATACAGTGTTTTCTCCAAAATGAGACATACAGTACCTTTTCCATAGGTAACTTTGGTTACTATCAACAGACACATAAAGAACAGAAAGAGATTTCTGAGTAAGGTAGAAGGCATGACCACAAGACTATTTATGTAAAACACTAGTAAAGGGAGGAGTAATTTTAACCTTGCTGTGATAAATACAGCAAGGCTGAGCATCCCTTTTATGCTTTATTATTGCAAGTAAGTGTGATATTTTGTTGAGATTACAGGGACAAACAGGCCAGAATATGAGGAGGCTCTTCATTTCCCTTTGAATATGTGGAGATTTGGGCTTGCAGCATTCCTTTGGAAAGGGACAGCTTTCACTCTGCCTGCTGAGCCCCTCTCCTTGCCACACCAGCACGGTCCTTGGGGTGCTGCAGCTCTTGGTGGAGCAGCTCTGAGCATCTCACCCGGCCCGATGGCTCTGCTGATGGGGAGCAGTGGGCAGCACCTGCTCACCAAGGTGCTGGGCCCATCCAACCTGAGTAGTCCGACCTTTCCTGAGAAAGCCCTTCTGCACCTCAGCCAGCCATTGCACGCAGCCCCACTCTTCATGGTTTGTGCCTTCTGCTGCCATTTCCTCCCAAGGTGTGCTTGGGTTTGGGATAGGTTTTGGTCTTGCAGGATGCCAGCAGGAGTAGATATGTAATTGCATGGCAGAAGGAAACCAGGCTGTTGTCCTCAGCAGGACTTCTGCAGACTTGGTATTTTTTAGGATGTGTTTGTGCACCAAAGCTGAGCCATCCACAGGTTTTAGAGGGATGCTTTCAACCCTCAGATCCCACTGAAGCAGAACAGACTGGATCCTTTTTTGGGAACCTCACTGTAGTAGTCCCAGATGCACCATGACCTCCCCACTGGTAATGGAGGTGGGCACAGACACAAACACACTGCTAGCACCAGGCTGTGTTTTGTTTGCACTTACTGAGAGGCTGCTGTGTTCACTGACCAAATTGTGCTTGTGTTCACCATGCAAGGAAGTCTGCTCACACATTTAGTAAGGCTGTATTAAACACCCAATACCTAAGTGAAAAACCTGGGGTACATGATTCTGAGAGACCATATGCCAAGATCTGAAAATGAGACAACGTGAAAGAAATGCACTTTAAGCCTTCCTGTAAATCTCTTCCCATTTTCTACACCCAGCATTGCTGTGAAGCTTTTTTTGAGTGTAAAGAAAGAGAAATTAAGCCACTTTAAATAAGGTAAATATTTGAAACTAATCTATGTTTTCACTGCCGTAGGGTATTCAATGGATTTATTGGATTTCTTTCACAAATAGTCTTTTAACAATTGAATGGCAAATCTGCAATAGGAATAGCGTAATCTGCCAGGAGAAAATCTCAGGTTAAGGTTTTATACGTATAATCCCTAAAGGCCTGAACGTGGGGGATAACTGAGAATCTTCACTGATTAACGAGGAAAGTGAGGGCTGTAATCAATCCAAATCTTGCAGGACCAGCTTCAGTGGCAGCTCAGCATCAGGCAGGATTTGGCCTCACACTTGAGAGTCTTCAAATACCGTAATTGAAATAGCGGGGACAATTCTCTGCCTTTGTTCTTGGCTCTAGAAACCTCCCTCTGTCAATCTCCCCTGTCTTGGTTGTATCTTAAATAACTTAAAACATGTGAACGTTGGCAGCTTGCAGGATTGCTTTCCATGCCAAGGCTGTGTAACAGGTCAAATATCGGCCCTTGAGCCCCGCTCAGATGAGCCAAAAGGGGCTTGTCATAGTCTGTGCCTCACGACTGCCTCCTGCCAAAAGGACTTGACAGCAAATCTGTGTGGCGGTATTTCATGTCAGAGAGAACACATCTGTTTTGGCAAGGGCATATAACAGAAATGGCACCTTCCACAGCACGTGAAAGCATCAGTTTGCTCTTTTGATGGTGAACTACATGGTCCAGTAAGACTTTGTTGTTTCTGAAAAGTAATTAACTATTGCAGCTTCCTCCCTCAAAAGACTTTGGACTGCACTGGTGTTTGGATGCAAAACATTTGAATGCAACTGAATGCTAAGACTTGAACTCTGAAGCATATTCAAAATGCTGTGTAGAAGATGAAGGCATTTGCCTTCATATTTCTGCTCCTAAAATCAAGTGCTCCTATTCCCTTCTAACAGTCACATCTGCCCTCAGCCTCCCAGGGAAATGAAATCGGATGACCACTCTTTAAAACAGCCACTTCAGCAGATTACATCCTGAATATGTAACCACTTGTAAAGAACTTTCACCCAGAAACTCCAATTATTGCCCTCTTCATGGTGATATTTTTATAGGCTTTCCATTCTTATCGTACTGGTAAACAAGCATTTTGATGCAATGAGAGTTGGCTGGGGAAATCCAAGGACTGCTTGTTATTGAAAAGTTATGGTTTGTATAGAATTGTACAGGTTGCTTCTGACACTTAAAGAAGGCTTTCAGTGTGGCAGCTGCCATTGTGCGAAATCTTTTGCTAATAAAACAGTAAAGGAAGAAATTAATTGCAGTGTTCAGCAATGCTAGCATATTGGCAATGTCCGACACAATATGTACCACCCAGCTGTTGTTTATAGGTGATACGTAGAGGTGATACAGTATCATGATTATTCTTGGTGCCCAGAGAATCGCAAAAATAGAAGTTATAGTAAACAAAATGGCTGTTGTTTTCCCTGTGGAGTATCCTCGCAGTCGGAAATTGCTCTTTCGTCGCAGCTTGTACACGATGATCGAATTAAGTATGAAGAAGATGGAGCAGGGCACTAAGTAAACAGTAAAGCAGTGGATCCAGATGAGGACGTGATGCATTGATGTGCTTATGTAGTCTTCAATCCAGATATTGGGCCACCAGTAGTAGGGAATGCTGGTCAAAAAGCAGGTGATGTAAACACTTACAATGACTTTTCGAGTACGAGCAGGGTAGGAGACTGTATGATACTTAAGTGGATGGCACACAGCTATGTACCTATCAATTGTTAGTGGAACCGTAATCCAAATGGATGTGTGGATGGAAGAAAATTCCAATACCTCAATTATTTTGTCCAGTACCTGAGGCATCTGTTTGTTTAAGATGAAATCTTCCAAGAGGAAGTCAACAAAGACAATGAAGAAGAGAACGAGGATGTCAGCAGCAGCTAGAGCTAGAAGATAGTTGTAGGAGGACTTCTGCCTGCGAGCCACCAGCTGGGAGAGGATGATGACTGTCAGGATGTTTGCTGTGGAGACAAAAACACGGAGTTAGGCCTTTAAGATGTGACATCAGCTTTTCTGAGTGCTTACTTGGAGCAGCAGCTATGCTTGAGCACTTGGCAACATGACCTTTATTAAAATCTGAGAAACTGAAAGGGAGCAGCTGTGGTACTGGCCCTGCTCCCAGCTGTGTGTTACACTCACTTGGTAACCCTGTACTCCAGGAAAAGGGCAGAAAGTTGGTCCCTTGAGTCCCTGCGTGGGGTTAGGTGATGTCCAGCAGCCCTCTGCCCCTCCCTGGTGCAGATGTAGAAGCAGAGCTGTGGCTCTGCTGCTGCTCTCTGGGTGCCCCACAGACCCCAAAGGAGCACCCTGAGCAGGGGGCTGGGACAACCAGCCTTGCTCAGCAGGGATGAGGGCACAGAAAGGCTGTTCTGCTGAGAAGATGGCTGGGGTACAAGGAGGAGCTGAGGAGCAGCTCTCCTCCTGCCCAGGCTGGCCCTGCAGCAACACTGCTTACACATGGGATCCCAATCGAGCAGAGGATTCCCAGGACAGCACGTGTCTCAGCTCCTCCCAAAAGCTGGAGGTACTCTGCAAGGCCTTGAGATGTTCCCAGCTATGCCTACGGTGTCTGACCCGCTCTCCTACAGATGGTTTCTGGCAAAATGTCTCTCCTCACCACTGAAATAAAGACCTGCCTGCTTAGCCACAGCTGCTCTTCAAAAGTCCTTCCCAGCTTACAAGGTGTTTTTCCTCTGGAGTGGTACAGCCAAGTCTTTAAGGAAATCCTGCTGCTCAAGTCAGACATGATGGATGTTCTGCCTCAGCACAAACGTAAACATCCCTGAGCATCCTGAGAATCTTTCTGCTTGCAACTATCTGGCTGCAACACAGACCCATCACCTAAATTGTGCCTGGAAGTACTGCATGGCACTTAAATAATATTGTGGTTGAAGATATTCTTGTCTTTGCTGTTTTCACTGGCTGGTTTGCTTCAGACTTCCAAAGCTGTGATTCAGCTTAAAAGTACTTTACTAGCTGGTTGAAAAGAGACAGTAAAATAGGTACCTGTATGTAAGTGCTCTACGGAGGGCTCAGTCCTACAGCCCATGGCCCTGCAGGGATCCCCACAGAGGGAAGGTCCGGCAGTCCTTGAGAGCTTTGCTGGGGCACTAAGGTATACCCAGACTTTCACTGCTTGCTCATGTTTGCTAGAAATTACTCTATAGTCTCGAATCAGGAAAGAAAAAGCTGTAATTCCTCCTAGATGCATGGCTGGAATGAGACAACCACTACTGCTCCCATCAGAAGTTTAAATCACTAGCCTAGAATACCTGAAGCTGTGCTTAAAAATCAGAGCGCTGCTGGCACACTGCATAACAAACTGCCAAATGTTTGTATTTGACATTTTCATAAGTGCTCCATAAATCACATCATCTACACATTCAGTGCTTCAAACATTTCTGCCAATTTTGATGGATTTCCCAAAACAAATCAACAATAACTGTAAAGATTCCTTCACATTAGAGAAAAAGGAAGTTAAAAACACTAAGGTAGTGATCTAAGATGTCCTATAACTGAAAACACACTTTTAAAAAACTGTTTTACTCGAATCTAGGTAAAAATTCCTCTTTCATAAATGTCTTCAAAACTTGCTTTCTGGGAGCTGATTTCTGTTGTCAGAAATCAGCTGACAATCAGAAATGAACTGCAGCAGAGTGAGTGATCTTGAGTAATAGCCCTTGTAAGTGTCAACTATTTTTGTATTACCTGAATTGATTAATTTTGTATCTTGGAACAAAACTAAAGCAAACATGACAGCCAATGGAATCATTCTCTAGGTTAAATATATATACTTACATAATCTCCCCAACAATATATAATCTCCAATCACCTTTGGGGGAATTTGTCTGATTCTGCTCTTTTACACAGGAATGCAACCTCACTGAGCTCAGAGTGGACATGGGAGTGATAAACTCAGAACCACGGCACTGTTTTTCACTTCCTTGCTTAAATAATGTCTCTGCTGTGCCTTCTGATCACTGAATCACAGAACAACTTATATTGGAGGGGACCTTAAAGATCATCTACCTCCATCTGTACTCCTGCTCCATCCTCTAACTGCCCCAGTCCCCTGAAGACCCTTACGATAGCCCTCATGCTTTTCTCAGCTCTTCATTGCTGCCAGCCTGCAGTGATGAGCCCTGAAGGGTAAAATGAGTGATGTACTGTCAAGGAAATCCTTAAGTCAAAGCATTTACCTTGACAGTGCCAGTCACTGTTGGCTTTGGTCAGCCAGGATGAATAGCTTGGCTTCACTTGGATATCACTCACGGTGTTCACGTCCTCTTTAATCCTTGGATTTGTTTCCCTGCAGCAGCAGCAGCTGGAGCTAGCACGCAGCAAGGGGAACAGCTGGGGACTTTGGCCCCTGCAGGTAAATACGGCCACTTGGGCAGAGAGCTCCTGCAGGGATGCTGAAGCTGTGCCCAGTCCCCTTGGCATATGCCCTTTCTGGGAGTCCTGCTGTTTGGTCCTACCTCCTCCCTTTATCCTACAGGAACAGATTTATAAACAGCCCTTTCTTCAATCCCTTCTCCCTCCACCATTCACAGGGTTCCCAGAAATGGCTGTAACAGAGTGTACTGAAATGCAAGTTCAACACCAGCAAGCTTTGCATGGTGAGCCGGATTAGAAAATTGATCTGACGAAGTACATGCAAGCCTTGTCCAATTTTTCTGCAAGGGTTATGGTATCTTGTATTGAAAATGCTTTCCCTGGGATCACATTAGTGCTTTTCTGGCTGGATGATATGAAATATAATAACATCATTGACTTTGTGAAAACAGATATACAGTGGGGTGCAGCTGCCTGTATCACAGCACCTTAGGTTTGGGAGTATTTGTCCTGTGCAGGCTGTATAAGGAAAGCAAAGAGAAGCTATGGGAAAGTCTCAGGCAGTCCTTCACCTGTTTCCTCAGGTGATAAGATGGTCTTTGGTACGTCCTCAAACACTGTTTAATGCTCAGCAAAACAAGAAAGCAGTGGGAATGCTGTTCTGTGTGAACTGTTCCCTTGTTCCTGGTGACTCCTGGATGCCTGCATGGTACCCTGCGAGTTCTCCTGTGGGCAAAGATGACCTGCTGGGGGCAAAAGGGGATGGATAAGCATATATGACAGAGAACATGTTTTAACTGTGTTTACCCTAATTCTTGTCCTAATGTTGTAGTTAGAAGTGAGGGCAATAGGATAATGATGAATATATAAAAATATCTCTTTATTGTAATATATATATTGCTGGAAGGATCAGTGTCCCTAAACTGTCCTGGACAGTAGCATCCATTTCTTGCAGTATTGTTTTCCAGGTACTGAGCAGTTCAGGTCATCTGGATTTCAGAAAGATTGCTCACAGTGTTGGGAGTTGATTATGAGAGGACAGATGGGAATTTATGCCAACGTTGCTTTTTGCAGTGCAGTAATTTGAATTTAAAAATATCTAGTTGAGAATCAAGGCTTGATTAGGGACTGACTGGCTAAAGCCTCAAGAGATGTCACTAGCAGATGAGAAGCAACTGTCAGAAATGGTGGAGTCTCAGTGCCTTCCCTTCCATCATGAGGATCTATTGCCTTTGAAATACAGTACGTGAAGATCTCTGGCACCCAAACACCATTAATCTGCAGTGCAGACTCTTGGTTCTCACCTGGGTTTGGGTTTGCTCCCCCCACCAACAGCTGCCTTGCTGAGTCCCCTGCAGAGCCTGGGCAGCCTCCTGTGCCTCCTCAAAGCTCTGCCTGTGACCTAAAGGCACAACATTTTCCACAGCTTCTTGTGTTGTGGATTACAGCCATAGCTCAAGTAGCATCTAACCATAGCTTTTGTGGGGAATTCACACAATTCCTTCCATGGCTTATTATCGCCACATGTGAGCTTATGCAGGAGCAATTTTATCTGTCAAAAGAAGAAATAGGCATATTCCTTGGTTTTGTTTTGTTTTGCTTTGTTTTGTTTTTTAGAGAGAGCATTTTGCATGCACACAGCAGTTGTGCAGTGAAACAGCCCTCAGAAGTAGAAGTGCTGCTGTGTTGTGAATAAGGCCTGCTGCGTGGTTCAGCAGTTCGCTGTCATAAACCACCTAAATGAAGTAGCTATGAGGGTCAGTTACTGAATGTGATAAACATTAGGTCACTGGATATAATGGACACCTTTTACCAAATGCAGTTGTTGCTAGGATCCCTGCGAATTGCCGTGCAATGTAACAAAGTACTAGCCATGCATTAGCCACCTGACTGGCACACAGACAGACTATTTATGAACACAAAATTCTAAGTTGCTTTGGAAAATACGTGAGCCACCCCTCCTTCACAGATTTAGAAATGGTGAGACTTTAGATTACAGCACATTACAAATATATGCTGAAAAAAGTGATTGTTTCGCCTTGGTGGGAAGAGATGGTTTCCTCTGGGCCAGGAGGCAATATTAAAATGTAAACATGCACAGTGCTCGGCAGGCTGACCCCAGCACGGTTACCAACACAGTCATGTGCCAGCAGTTACCAGAGCTGAGAGGCGGACAGCATTCAGCCTTTGGTTTGTGCAGCAGCTCTCGGGGGACACTGATGACAATGGGAAGTAATCATTTTGAAAGACAAATGCCGCAGCGATGTAAGCATCTGTTAATCGGGGCTGCTGGCTGTGTCCAGCTAGATGTCTTAAAATGAAACCTGCATCTCATTGGTCATTAGAGGAGATAGGGCAGTTTGGTGTTTTTCTCTTGCAGCCAGGATGGGTTGAGCTGAGTTCAACCTTAGCACGTCAGCAGATGGGAACAATCTTTTGAGAAAGGCTCTTGGGAGGTCTGTGCTCAGAAGCCCCATGTGCACAGACAGGCTGCAAGGCCAAAGTGAGAGTGCTGGTAGTTACCGAGCATCTGCTCTGCTGCCCAGCACAGTTCAGGCTCCCCTGCACAGCAGAGGACGGAGCAGCAGCCAGGGATGATGCAGCATTGCCTCGTCCTTAGAACAGG